GGGGTGGAAGCTCTCCTGCAGCCCCCCGATTGCCCCCTCTCCCCAGATGGCAGCCTGCGGCAAGTGCAGCCGGTCTGATGGCCGAGTGCTGTGATGTGCCCAGTGTGGGTAGTCCGGGCACTCCAAGGCAGGACTGCTTTGCAAGCGGGGCAACCCTGAGAACTGTCTGTCCGGGGTGGGGGTCGGGACCCTTTAAGCGTAGCCCTCAGCTAGCCTGAGACAGCATCTCCACGCTTTAAGTCCTCCTCTGATGCCCTGCCGGCACTGCTTCCGGCCATCCTTAACCCCGGTTCAGGGTCCACTTAATGTGGACATGCTAGTTCGAATTAGCAAAATGCTAATTCGAACTAGTTTTTTAGTCTAGATCCGTTAGTTTGAATTAGCTTAGTTCGAATTAACTAAGTTAGTTCGAATTAGCACTGTAGTGTAGACATACCCTTAGAGAACATCTTAGTTTAAATGTATGCAATGTTCCATTAGAATCGGAGTCAGCAACCTTTTCAAAACAAAGCCAAACTACATTAGAATTCAGAACAAGTGGTCAACAAAGAGCTGTATAAGAATGCCCATTTGCATGACTGAAAATATACAACTTAATCTTATTGATAATTGGCATGGTGATTAATAATAGCATAAATTAAACACTGCTCACAGACTTTAATGGGACTTAAGCTGCTGCACCTTTTTTTTACATTTCTTTGAAGTTTACATCATAACCGGTCAAATCCAGTTTCATACATGCATTCAGGCTGTCTCTGTCAATCTTACGGCAGGGGCTTGGGATGTTGAGGTGCAGGAGTCAGGGTTTGGGTATATGAGGAGCAGGGGATTCAGGCGTATGATGGGCTAAGAGAGGGAGGCTGGGGTGTACAGGAGGTGCAGGCAGCAGGGCAGGGTGCTAGGGGTGGGAAATAGAGTATGTGGGGGGCCCTAGAGCCAGATTATCTTACCTGGCTGGGGCTCGGCTGCTGCACCCAGGCAGCAGTGGCTGGATATGGGGCTGGGCCAAGATCTCTGCAGCCAGATCATGGCCTCCTCTCCTATCCGTGCTGTGTGTGTGTCCAGGCTGCATGTGGCATTTCAAAGCGACAGTGCGTGGAACTCAGGATCAGCTGGGGACTCCCCCACAGACCACGGGCTCCATACAGTGCGGCTGCTTTGAAGGTGGCAGGGAGCCCAGCGTCAGGCTGCACACAGCGTTTCAAAGTGGGAACGCAGCACAGAGCCCAGAGTCAGTGGGGGAATCCACAACTGACCCCGGGCACCATGCAGCACTTTCACCTTTGCAGTGTAGCAACGGTCCTAAGGCTGTTGCTACACTTCAAAGGCAGAGGCGCCCTATCAACTAATCGAATGCACAATGCATCAGCTATTTGATTTAGTCAATTACTTGAAATTTAATATTCTTAAATTGTACTTCATTTTATTTTGGCTACATGTGGATGAACATTTAGTGTCATATCTTCCCTCCCTTGTGTTCTTTCAGTCAGGGGAAATATAGGACCATGTACACTGGGCTGTATGAATATATGAAGAGTGTCAGGAAGAATTCTGTTTTTTTCAGCAGG